ACAAACGTTTAATAAAAAATTGATAAACACAATAATTTTGTGTCTGGAGTTGCTTAAGTCTAAACCAAACGGGCAATACATGCGATATGATTCCAGATGAAACATCTTACGCATGTAAAAACAAACAAACAAAAAATACTCGTTTATACAGGAGGTAGAAAGTATATTTAAGCATCCTTTTCGTAATGCCTAAAGCACATACATTATATAATATACTTGGCGAAAAGTACGGGGAAACAAACATCACAAATACGATTATGATGGCATTATAAATGAAATCTTATTAAAACATCAATTTTCGCAAATTTCAAAATCACATGAAAGAATCATACACATTTTATTCCTTTACTCCATTTCTAAAAGTATCTTTTGATTGAAAGTTACAGTTCTATTTCATCTATTCTATAAGCACAGCAAAATTTATTATTACTTTACTAAAAACATTAGTTCATTTCTAGATATAATCCATACACTGACACGTGTTAATTACATTCAGAGATAGTGACACGTTAATATATTTTTTCTTTCCAGTGATTGACAGATAGTAAGATTTTTACGACTACCAACACAAAACTGAGCAAGTAAAACAGTCGCATAACCTATATAATGAAAATGCTTTGTGAGTTACTGTATCCAATCAAGGCACTTTGACCTGACTATAGCAGTATAGTTCTTCCCATTTAAAGGAGACAAATTAATTGGCCCTTTCTTCTCTGGTCTACTCAAAGTGACTCATTGACCCGCTATCGAATACATCAATCCAGCTGAGCCTTGCATTCCTGCGGTGTAGCTCGTGGCCAAACCGTGATAAATCCCTCCGCTAAAAGACCAGTGTGTTATCAATTCCCTGGTCAACTAGAAAACCGACGAATTCGTGTTATTAAAAACCCATAGAACACGTTCGGGAGGGCTAAGCGTGTATGAGCTGCCAACGGCCTGTTCTAGAGTGATCAATCAACATGAAAAATGCTTCGGCCGTCGAATGCAGGCTCTGACCCTCACAGAGTGAACTCTAATCCAATTCGGACTAACCTGATTCTGCAGCAGCTACATATACGAGGATATTAAGCCCATCGTAGAGTTACTAACGAAGAGGAGGGCTAGATAACCAGATAACAGCACTGGTGGGCGGAGAACATTTCTTTCTCAATTTGTTAAACAGAAAAATAGGTCGATGGAACACTCATGAGGAGTGAAGCAAAGATGAAATGATTACTTGCTTCCATCCCGGAAGTGGGCCGATTACAGCCTAACTAACGCAATTCCTTTTTATATGAGATGAAATCTCTTTAACCTTATAGCCGGAATACAAAGTCTTGTCTAACGAACAATGAAAAAATACTCAGTACAAAACCGATTTGAGACAACTTTGGAAACTGGGTTACTAAAAGATATACGTTCATTGAATCAATAAGTAACAAAGCACAAACGTACTTTACTGAATGAAACATTTAAAAAAAAGTTTGTTTTAAATTTTAGTTTCACGAAAAGCAAACAATTTCAGGATTTATGCTTATATTTTAAAATACCTAGCAAAGGAATAGAAAAAGAAAGTATTAAGTAATATGGTTACTATTTAACCATCTGCCTTTAAACTCTTAATCAATTAAGCTATAAAGGAGATTTTTGTTAAATTTAGTTTACCTGTATTGTCTGTCTATTTGTGTCTTCATATCCATCAACTAATTGTTAGATACATTTTTCATCTATTCCTAAATAACTTAATCCATCCATTTGTAAGTTATCTATCTCTTTCTGTGATTTGGATCATTAAAAGACACGTCTCTAGAATGTTAAAATGTGGTATCGTACTATTATGAAGAACGAGAGGATAAAACAAACTAATCCTCTCCTTTAACGAACAACCAAGGATATCCCATATAAAATCGCCTTTAGGCGTAGAAAAAATACAACATGATGAGCTGTAATGCCTTTTCTCCCATTCTTCTAAAAATGCAAACATGTGTATAGAATGCAAAATGACAGCTTGGTGATAAATACGAATAAATGCAGGAGTTACTTCAAGTGATCGTGTACATATATATCATTCAACTGATAATTTACAATTCTACGGCAATAGATTTTTTAAACGTTGTTACTGAAGTTCAGGTTGATTATTAATTTTGATGATTGTGTTATGGCGTAGATTTTTTATTTTATTTCTGAAAGTCTGTTTTTGTTTATTTGAGATGACTTTGTAGTTTTTATATTTTCTTTAGGGGAGTTACTTTGTTTAAAAACTAGTAAAATAAAAGAAGTAGGTAATAGATATTTAATTTCAAGGCCACCTATCAGAAATAACATGAACTGCATGGCTGACCAATTAAATAAATAGACAGTTATGTTGATAAATAAGCACATAAGTGATGGATACTAATGGATAAATAACTAAAATGAATAGGTAAATAGAAAGATTTAAATAATCGCAGAAAGAGAGAAAACACTCTGTAATATTATTTTCTTCAGTACATTAAAAAAATATATTATTTATTACAACAACCTAGCTCACTTATTTTACAACAGTCTCCTCAAACTGTCTAAAAAATGCATAAAACTTTCACGTCGTGACTCTCACTATTCGCTAGTGTACTTCAATATGATGGGAACAGTGAAAAAGTTTTACTTATCTTCAAACGAGAAAATTATCTATTGTCTTTCTCCTCCACAGAGGAGCAAAATGAAAGGTCGTGATGTCGTCTATAGGGGCTTTTAAACTATTAAGAGTCACAGAAGACGCTTGAATGAATACACTTCTCACTAGATGAAGTTAAGCATACAACGATCTATGTTGTCCCTAGGGAGTACAGTGGAAAACTCGCATTTAGCATATGTTGAAGTATATCGATAGGCGTTAGGGTGGGAACTGATACAAGAGGAAGCTGACATACGAAATATAACTTAGAATCTAGATGACTTGAAGTTACGGATCGTATGTTTTACTTCGAATCATACAATGATGAAGTTCTGATAGAAGCGTTTTCAATGCCACAACCATATCAAATTGTTATTCATTGCACGATAGACCTTAAGGGAGTCTTTCCAGGATGGAAAAAAGAAATGAAAGTTTTCACTTTCCAATATACTAATGGATTGAAAACTGCCGATACATTTGATTTTAAACTTTACAGGATCGTTGAAAAACTATATTATTCTAGAAAATAAATGAAAATGTCAAACTTAATTATGAAAAACTTTTCAAAATATGAATGGAATCATGACAAATACTACTTGAAAATTTTAAATCCTTTCTTATCAAATCCCATCTCATGATTTTACAGTGAATGCTTAAAACGATTTCATCTAGTGTTCGTCTACATTATGGACGTAAATCTTTAACTGTTCTGTTAATCAAATGTGCATTTTATTCTCAAGAACTCGCTTAAGTTTCAATATTTGCAATCCAATCTAAGATTTAATATTTTAATGAGTTCATCAAGGTTGCCAAGTTAAAGAGCCAGCACACTGTTGCCTGTAAAGAATATTAGTCAATCATATGATTATTGTGAGTATTCCTCCGTTCATGTTATTACGGTACAAGATCGTTTGCGTTTTTTAAGCGCAAAAATGCACAGTGGGCTATTTTTGCTGTGCTCTCTGGGTTTTAATGTTATAAACCCTCAAACTTGCCGCTGAGCCACCGACAAGGTAAGGTATGAAAACAAAACCATCATGACATTTAGTAATTTATAAGCCACTAATTAGTTTAATGATTTTTTACCCATTATTATTTATATCGAAAGGTTCGTAGTGAAATATATTTTTTAAACAACAATGTGCGTTATGTCCCTTATCATTTATTCTCACAGTTTCGAGAGAATACGAGGCAAAATCATACAGGTATACCACTGGGTATATGAGCTGTTCCTAATGGTAGCGAATTACGTGTAAAATATTGTATAAACTAACCTAAAGCTCTAAATGTGGCTAGTGGAAATTCAGAAAGTGATTTTACGAAAAAGCCAAGACATTAGCTTCTGCATGAGATTCGTTCACGCGCTATCAGACCTTTCAGCCCCATTGTTGGCAAGAGCTAAGAGTTCGTTGATGACGTCATGGTTCACGCAATCAATCATTCTGTGACAGCATGTGCAGGGAAAAGGATGGGCTCATCTCTGATTTTTGTCTTTCGACCTTTTCTCTCTCTTGGCGACTACCGTTTTGCCATTCGTAAGATCGGAAGGGAATTCTGATAGGCAAAAAATAGCAAAGACCTCTATGCTTTCATGTTTTGCTTGATGAACGACATCAAATATACTAGTGTGATAAGGTGTTATTTTCCTCTCATTTCTAATTAAACAGACACTGTTTCAACTTCATCTATTGAGTTTACAAAGTAACAAAATATTGATTATTTTCGTTCAGATGTTATGTATGGTTGAATTATTTGAATTAGCCTACTTTCTTCAGATTACTATCGAATTTTGCCAAATACATCAAGTAGCTAATACAAATTATTTTCTAGATGTACCAGTTCCCTAAGCAGAATGGTTGATGTTTATAATCTAAATCAGTGTTTCTCCACAATAGTTCCGCAGCCTGGCGCTGGTCTGTTACAACTGGCTGATCCGTGGGATTTCATTAAAGCAAAACAAAAAAAAAAACTAACAGAACACTGATATGTCAATCGTAATATTTATTTTGTTTAGTTTTTTGTACTTACATTTTACTGGTCTGCGACAATTTAGGGAAGCAACGAGCCGGTTTCTGGTATCGAAAAGTGTGAGAAACACTGATCTAGATGAAGTATCTGTTTCCTAAACATACCAGTTGAAGTCCGTATTTTCTTTATGTATATCTGTTTCCTAAACATACCAGTTGAAGTCCGTATTTTCTTTATGTATATCTGTTTCTTAAACATAATGGTTGAGATCTATATTCTATATTTATATCTTTTTCGTAAGTATATTGGTTTAGATTATATTCTATATCTGTGTCTGGTTGAGGTCTCTATTATTAGTCTCTGTTTATATCTATTTGTACTTTTAGCGATTGGTACGTACTTTACAAACCTACAGATCACAGCTAATCTTCTGACTTTGTGGTTGAAATCTGTTTATTGAAAGCCTCTACCTAGAAATATCCCATGAAATCCAAGATCTTTATATGTGGATCCTAAAGGAAGAAAAAAAAAGTTTGACTTAAACGAATGCCTTAATCTCGTAAAACTATTTATATACCAAACAATTAAGTAAAGTTGTTCAGTTTGTCACACTCTGTATAGTATCAAAATGCGTATTATTTTATAGGCGTCACTCGGTAAGCTATCTTACGTGAACAATGTTGTTGCAAAATACCATGGATTAGATTGATCAAAATATTGTTATACATATCTATAAACAAACAAAGTTCATTCAGTTTACAGAATAACTACTCATTATCCAAAAGATTAGTTGACTCGCATAAGATAACTACATAATTTTTAATTATGAATCATAAAAGCATCCGCTCATCATAAATATAAAACTTTACACTAATAACACATGTCACTTAAATCCTTGTAGTTCATCAGCAAGATGCGTTGTTATTCATATAGCCTGTAATTCTGTAGTCACACAAAAGCCATTCAGCAGATATTTATTTCGTCGAGTAGAAGGTTTTATGACTCAACATAAACAATAGTATGTATTATTTTATTCTACTTCTTAAACGTACTGTTCAGATAAAACAATAAAATTAGCAACCAAAAATAGGCCCTTACTACTACTAGAAGATTAGTTACTATAGAGACTGGGACTAACGACAGATTTAAAGAAAATCGAAAACCGTGTTACTACTGGTAATTGAAATCGGTTCATTCGATAACAGCCTGACTTCAAGGATTAAAAATTTTGTTACACATACATGTGGTAATACAAAAAAAAAATCAAATGATTTCTCCAGTGAAGGTGTTATATATATTTGTTATCCACATATTCCATGGAAAATATATAGGTATTTCTTATAAATTCAATGGTATTAAATAAAGAGGCTTCACTTAAATTCACACAACGGTTTTTTTTATTATTAGGAACCACTACTCGGAAGCAATTTAAATAATCTAGTATTCAGGAGATTAAACCTTTTATAACTGATCCAAATCATTCATTACCACACACGCGCGCGCACACGCACACACACACACACACACAAACAACAACAAAACAACAACCTAAACATATTTATTTTCATGTTATTTTTTTAGCCAAACAACTACTAGTGTTAGTAGAGGTTTTTCTTCTTTTTTTTTCTACAATACAGCCTCAAACATCAATCAAATTCGAGTGGCTGGTACAAGTAAAAAGAGGCTACATTTGTTTTTCTATTCAACATATAAACAAGTCCTACAGAAACATCTCTTTATAAACTTTGCTTCAGCCTAATAAGGCTGTGTTTGAGCCATTAAATAAGATTTGTAGGCTTTATTTTCGTTTTCAACTGTAATTATATAAGCGACAAAACATACAATAGCCTGATGTCGACAAACACACACACTCTATCTGTACATGCACGTCCTAAATAACGACTGACACCCGGCCAAGCACTGCTCAGAGCCACATTCAGCTCCACACCAGCAGCCGCGAAGATTAACGAGTCTGCTAACGGGGTTGTCTACCGATGGGACGACACACAAAACTGGCAGAATTTTTCACAAGACAAAATTTATATGGACTGTCAGCAGTGAATCGTCGCACTCTCTCTATTCCTAGCTTTCTGGATGAATGATCCAGCGAAGAAAATGGCCCCTCAAATACATAGGGGCCCTTCAAAGACGTCGGTGGAGAAGAAAGAGAAGAAAAATAATAGCAATGGTAAAGAAAAAAAATATATAGGAATGTCAGGACAGGAAATAGGTATCGTTAGTTGCTCATATATTTATGAAAGAAACCATTCCAGTGATCGTGATTTGTAATAACCAGTCAAACTAGTTTATATATATATATACCATTTTTGAAGCATGCTACTAAAATAGCTAAATGTGAGACTACCTTCAATACACACTATACTTAATTAATCATAATTCATAAATGTTTCTGAGAAAGGATGAAGGTAATATACATGTTCATCATAAATCAATAAAACAAAAATATGTACACACACACACACACATGTTCATTAACAGCAATATTCAGAAGCATTATTCATTTTTTAAGTCGTTTGGTTGCCTTTCTCGACAACAGGGGATCATAAGAACTTATTTGGGAAGGGAAAGGGAGCAGACATTTTAGGCTAGGGTTCTGATGCTCATCAGATAGCGAAGCCCCCGGAGCTTGTGTGTTTTTAATACTATGGGGGTACAAAACTGTATTTTCCTTACATTACTGTTAATTCGATTATGGGGAGAATGTTTTACTTATGATATGAGTAATAATTTAGTTTTCCTATTATTGTTAACAATCAGTGCTAGGGCAAATGTACATCTGAAACTTAGCTTGAATCGCTTCCTTATGGATATAGTCAGTAGTAACCATACTGACAAATCAGTAACGATATTTGAATGAATACTTTATTCTGCATTCTAACCGCTCTGCTATTTCTTTTTAACTTTGTCCAGTAACTTGCAATCTTCCTCGTTATCAGTAACAAGTAACTATAATTTTCACTCTGATCCCTCTATAATCGTCTTATAAAATATTTTCACACCCTTTCACACTCGTTCTCCAGTGTCGTCTGCCAAAAAGTCATATTAAGGATTACGTCATACAGATATATAAAACGAACCCAAATTACCCCAAAATATGGAAATCGAGAGAATTACATGTGAATTCGGGAAATCGGGGGAGTGGGTGGGGCAAGTGATTGCACCATTTGCACCCCCTCCCCCCCCCCAGATTCACCCGAAAGGCTTGTAAAATATATTTTGGTGTTACTAAGCGCTTTTTACGACATTTTCTGTTCCAGACAGACGTCGTATCTTGGTAATGTATTAGTACAAATCTTTAAAGTAGACGAATACGCTTGCAGTACGAAAACTAGCCGACTAACAGGTAACGAAGTATGAAATACCTGGAAACAGTCACTGAACTGTAACATGGTAAAAGTACAGCGGCAATAAGTCTGAAAATCTTGACATATTATTCACTTGTACAATTTATACTCAACAAGTGTGCACATCCATATTGAAAAGTGAGTCATATAGTTTTTTTCTTTTGTTAGTAATTTGTGAAAATATAAAAACCCACAAACGTAATCCACTATCAGATAATAAATATTGGTGTTAATATATTATTTCTTCTGTTTTACTTGTAGCTAAGTAATCTTTAATCTACCGACTCAATATTCTAACAAGAACTATTTCTATAAAGAACAAGTTAATCTTTAATCTATTCACTCAATATTCTCACAAGAACTATTTCTATAAAAAACAAGGGAATCTTTAATCTATTGACTCAGTATTCTAACAAGAACTATTTCTATAAAGAACAAGTTAATCTTTAATCTATTGACTCAATATTCTCACAAGAACTATTTCTATAAAGAACAAGGGAATCTTTAATCTATTGACTCAGTATTCTAACAAGAACTATTTCTATAAAGAACAAGGTAATCTTTAATCTACCGACTTAATATTCTAACAAGAACTATTTCTATAAAGAACAAGGTAATCTTTAATCTACCGACTCAATATTCTAACAAGAACTATTTCTATAAAGAACAAGTTAATCTTTAATCTATTGACTCAATATTCTCACAAGAACTATTTCTATAAAGAACAAGGGAATCTTTAATCTATTGACTTAATATTCTAACAAGAACTATTTCTATAAAGAACAAGGTAATCTTTAATCTATTGAGTCAATATTCTAACAAGAACTATTTCTATAAAGAACAAGGTAATTATAACGCGATTTTAGAATTGCTTGTTATCTGTGTAATGATGGTTTGAATATTTAACCATATTGATGACATTCAAGTTTCTTTTATCTTTTTTCAAGAAGTGTTTGCATGGCATGGCTCTGTCATTATACATATATTTACATATTTTATGATAAGATAGAATTTGGAAGATAAAGCTAAAAAAATCAAACAGATATTTTTTCCACATCTTCAATAAAGAAGTATAAAATAAATTAATACTAATGTACTTCAGACAATAAAGGAGCTCGCAATTAGTTATAAAAAATAACAGTTAAATCCTACACGACTGTTATTATTTTAATAATATCTGTTTTCATATTTTTTTTTATTGGGGAGGGTGTTCTAACCTTCTTGATCCTGTCTGGTTGCCTCAGTTATCCTGTTCTATCATATTATCTGTCCTATTGCGAAAATATTTGCTGTTGATCGTGTATATTGAAAACTTCAAAGTTAAACTAACATACAAGAAAAACTAATAATACACACAATCTAAAAATTTTGTGCTCACCAATTCACCCCTTTACCTCTTACCAACTCGATATAAAAGCAGACATGGTTCGTATGCAGGTTCAGTTTATAACATGGAAACTATTGCATCGCAAATGGAGATCTGTGTGCATGTATATACTGATGCTTTGAAAATGATCAATCTAACACATTCAAGACAATCCAATCCTGAAACGTATTTAAGTAATTTATTCGGATAGGTATCTTTCGAAATTCTGAGAATTAACGTTGGTGTAGAATATGCTTTACTTAATCAGTATTGAAACAATAACTAGATAATCACGGTATGTCTGATAATAGTGACTGTAGAAAGAAAACAGAAAAAAAGAAACTACAATGACAACGATAACAATGGTACTGATCAAAGTGACAATCCACTTTTCCTGGATCCACAAGATGCAGTTGGAACATAGTATATTACTATCTTTTTGGAGTATCAATCAAAATAGTAAAATTTATCCGATTTTTGTGGTCTTAAATTAAAAATCTGGAATAAATTAGATAGTGGCTTCTCGTGAAAATTTTTAAAAAAACGGTACTAAAATGTTTAATTCAAGTGATAAAATAATCTAGACAAAAGCCTTAGGAAAAGTCCACACACAGACATTCCTCAATCAAGTATGGGCGATATTCTGTGAAAGTCAATTATCAAATTCGACAATAGATTCCTGCATTTGAAAACATGTTAGCCCTGCACATGATTAAGCTGCACAATTAATTGTAAATTTAAGATGCAATCCTAATGATTTCGTTACATTCGAATTAGTGTG